GCGGTGGTGGTAGCGGGTGGGTGGCAGGTGGCTGGTGGTGGTGGGTGGCTGGTGGCGGATGGTGGTGGCATGTGGGTGGTGAGTGGTGGTGGCAGGTGGTGGTGAGAGATGGGTGGTGGTGGTGGAAGACGGTGGTGGAAAATGGTGGCGGGTGGTGGCTTGTGTTGGGTGGTAAAAAAAAAAAAAAACTCAAAACTCAAAACGGAAACATATTTTTTGTGTTTTCATTTTGGCCAAATTTATAAACTGTGACCACTGATTTATAAATCAAAAATTTTACCAAACAAGTTTTTATTTGAATTTTTTAAAATTTTGTAAATATAAACAGAAAACTGAAAATGTAAGTGTTACCAAACGGCACCAAAACAATTAGCTTCATCGAACACTATAAAAATAAAAAAAAGAAGAAGAAACAAATTGTATTTTTCTTTCATAAAATAGATAGTTTAAATTTATAACTATATTTGTTGTTCATTTTACAAAATAAAATGTAATTTATTGTTATATTTATAAATATTTGATTAAATTAATTTTTGCGTGAATGACTTTTATTGCAAGATTTATGAGGTAGACTGTTCAAATTACCGATGTGCATCTGAATTGTGCCTCACTAAAAATGTGGGGAGGAATATAAAAAGATTGGTAGAGAATGTGAAATATTAATTATTTGTGTTAAATAATTGAAGAATATGAAGAAATAAAATGAATGATGATTGGTAGAGTAATATGGCAACGTAACAGTCCGAACTATTATATAATTTTTCTATAGACAGGTGAAGGTACATGGAGGAGTTTATTCTTTTTGTATAGACTAAAATCTAAGGGTAATGTTATGATATATACTTTCAAAAGATAGGTGGCATAGGTAAGTTATGTCATTTCTGATTTAATGGAAGTGTTTGGAAAGTTGGGTTGGTTAGCTTTTTTGATTAAAATAATTAATAAAAATAAAATAGATTAAAATTATTAATAATATAAAATGTCACGTTTAAATTATTATTATTACTTTTTTTTACAATTATCAAATCAATTCACAAAAAGTCAATTGTCATCTCAAATACAACTTTCTTAATAGGAGGATTTGGTCATAGTCCCCTTGCTATTTAATGGAAAATGGTTGGTAACTCAAAATTTTGTGGCTCAAATCTGTCAAAACGACATCGTTTTACATTCATTTACACTCAAAACGACGTCGTTTTGAGGGATTTAAGCCATTTGAGCCACAAGATTTTGAGCTACCTAGCATTGTTGTATTTTTAAAGAGTACCGCTTTATACCTCGAAACTTCAACGGCTCGAATGGCCCGATTTTTTTTGTACAACTCCAATTTCTTTGTACACTCACTTCTCATATAATGCTCAGCTCAGCCACACATTTCATTTGGAGGAAAAAAAAAAAAAGAAAGAAAGAACAGAGCGTAGAGAGAAAGGAGACGAAGCCGACGACGACGAAGAGAGAGGAGCCGTCCTGTGTGTCGCCAACCAGGCTGCGTCCTCTGCTGATGCTGCTGTGTGTGCCATTGTTTCTGTGTATGGCGCAAGAGTGCTGCCGGTGCTGCTGCTGGTGGGTGTGATTGCAACTATTGGATTGATTTTCAGATTGGGTGATTGAAATTTGGTTTCAGATTGGGTGTTTTGGAAAATTTATATACTGTTGGCTACATATTTTGTAAAAGCCATATTTGTGTTAAATAATTGAAGAATAAGAAGAAATAAAATGAATGATGATTGGTAGAGTAATATCGCAACGTAACAGTCCGAACTATTATATAATTTTTCTATAGACAGATGAAGGTACATGGAGGAGTTTATTCTTTTTGTATAGACTAAAATCTAGGGGTAATGTTATGATATATACTTTCAAAAGATAGGTGGCATAGGTAAGTTATGTCATTTCTGATTTAATGGAAGTGTTTGGAAAGTTGGGTTGGTTAGCTTTTTTGATTAAAATAATTAATAAAAATAAAATAGATTAAAATTATTAATAAGATAAAATGTCACGTTTAAATTATTATTATTATTTTTTTTACAATTATCAAATCAATTCAAAAAAAGTCAACTGTCATCTCAAATACAACTTTCTTAATAGGGGGATTTGGTCATAGCCCCCTCACTATTTAATGGAAAATGGTGGGTAACTCAAAATTTTGTGGCTCAAATGGCTCAAATCTGTCAAAACGACGTCGTTTTACACTCATTTACACTCAAAATGACGTCGTTTTGAGTGATTTGAGTCATTTGAGCCACAAAATTTTGAGCTACCTAGCATTGTTGCTATCTAATTTCTCTTTCAAAAGAACAAGAATTATATAAGTACTTTCAAAACTCCCTGATATGTTAAAACTTATTTCTTTTATTATATTACCCTCATATCTATCAGCTCTCCTATTAAGACATTTTTACTATGTATTTCAGAGTAAAATTTTACTCTGTATGAAAGTAAAATCTTACTCTGAAACTAAAAGTAAAATTTTACTCTGTATAAAAGTAAAATTTTACTCTGAAAAATAAATAAACTGTAAGACTCTGAAGCTAAAAGTAAAATTTTACTCTACATCATTCTCTCTACATTTTCACTATGTATTTCAGAGTAAAATTTTACTCTGTATGAAAGTAAAATCTTACTCTGAAACTAAAAGTAAAATTTTACTCTGTATAAAAGTAAAATTTTACTCTGAAAAATAAGTAAACTGTAAGACTCTGAAGCTAAAAGTAAAATTTTACTCTACATCATTCTCTCTACATTTTCACTATGTATTTCAGAGTAAAATTTTACTCTGTATGAAAGTAAAATTTTACTCTGAATGAGAGTAAAATTTTACACTCTGAAACTAAAAGTAAAATTTTACTCTGTATAAAAGTAAAATTTTACTCTGTATAAAAGTAAAATTTTACTCTGTATAAAAGTAAAATTTTACTCTGTATAAAAGTAAAATTTTACTCTGTATAAACACACACACACACACATATATATATATATATATTACAGATCGGAATATGTAGATATATATATATATATATATTCGAATTCAAATCTCAAAACACATATATATTCGAATTCAAATCTCAAAACACACAAACACACACATATATATAGATATATATATATATATATGTATCAGCGCGATTTGCAAGTTCTCCACAGCTCCGGCCATGGAGGAAGCTAGGATTAAAAGAGAGAGACGAGATAGAAGATGAACAGTTGAAGGAGAGTTGAAGGAGGAGAGTTGAGAAGATGCAGAGAGAGATCGTCGGAGCTTAGGAATGACACAGCTCCGGCCATGGAGGAAGCTAGGGTTAGAAGTGAGAGACGAGAGAGAAGATAAATTTTGTATTTGGATTGTGTATATGTGAGGGTATAATAGTCTGATAAAATATTTAAATAATAAATTTTGTCCTTTATGCAAGATTTTATAATTATGAGGGGTTTTAGAAAGTATAATTTTTTTCTTAGTCCTTCTAATAATGAAGGAAGGTAAAAGGGATTTATAACCAAATTTCCCTTCTTAATAAGCTAAAGCAGCTAAAAACCTAACTAAAATAGCCAAATTTTCAAATGAGCCCAAGTAACTTTTGGATCCTAATGGTCATAGAATTTTCTAAAAAGGATTGTTCATTTTTTAAAATAAATGTGATTCAAATATGTAATTATTAAAATCTAATCATCTTAATATTTTACATTAATATTCTTTTCAAATAGTACTAAGCCCTCGTTTGACAAGTGACTTTTTTGAGATTATGGGCTAAATTAGCTATTATTAAAAAGTCAATAAAACAAAATATTACATTAAAATCATAATTATTTCATTTTTTTTTTACCAAAGTCAAAAAAAAAATTAAAATGTCAACCCAAATAAATTTTGTTAATTCTAAAATAAAGGGCTATTTTGAGAAGATAGTTAAAAGTTATCTTCTAACTTTTAACCTATTTTAGATCATATCATTTCTCATTTTTTTTAATATATTTTTTCAAAAAAACCAAAAAAAAATTCAAAAAACTAAAAACTTGTATATATCTTTCTAAAATAATCCAAAGAAAAATGCTTGGGAGCACTAAAAAGGAAGCACTAAGAGGAGCACTAATGAGTGAAAAAAACACTGCATCCGTCACAAAATATTAATCTCTTATTTCTTTTTTCGTTATCCAAAAATATTAGTTTTTTTTCAAAAATTAAGGAGTAAAAATCATGAATTTCCTATTTTGCCCTTCTTTTAAATTCATTAGACCCATGTAACTAGGGCTGCAAACGAGCCGAGCCGAGCCGAGCTTTAGTATGTTTGAGCTTGTTTATTAAGATTTTAACGAGCTCGAACTCGAGCTAAATAAAAATTTAACGAACCGAGCTCGAGCCGAGTTGGCTTAGGCTCGATTTGAGCTCGATCCTGTTCACCAACCTTAACGAGTCAAAAAATTTATAAATTCGTACATGCATGTGAGACTAAAATTATAATTAAAACTTTGATTATACAATTATATATACAATATATATAAACATACTAAAAAAAATCCATATTTTATTAAAATAATAATATCTACTATCATTATTATATAAATGTACTATCTATAGTTAATTATTATTTATATTTATATTTTTTAAATATATAAATAGTATATTTTTCTTATTTTTTATAGTATATATTTTTATATTATTTAATATATAAATAATAAATATTAAACAAATCAACTAATGAATTGAATTTTAAAATATTTAAATTTATTTATTAAAAATTTAATCAACTCAAACCAAAAAACAAAAAAAATTAAAAAACCAAATTCATACTAACCCTTATCAAATCGAATTCCAACATGTTCACGAAGAACTCTGTTGCTTTGCAGCGCGACAGGTAACCTACCGAGATTAGGCAACTCACTAAACTCCCCAAAATGTAAGTGACACGTGTCCGTAACGGAAAGAAGCGTGTGTTAGCAGTTTTGGCCTTTTCCGTCGAAAACAATCACAAAGTCAAGTACGACGGCGTAAGACTATATAATGAACTGCCACTGACGAAAGCCCTATCCATCCAACATCCTCCTCCACACCACACCGCACCAAACTTTCTCAGCTCCGATCAACGATGTCGAACTCCGGCGACTTTTATCACATCCCCTCCACATCCCAGCCCCCACCCAGGCCTCCCGGACACGATCTCCGCCACTATACGCCGGGCGCCGCCGCCGACCCCCGAGTCCCCCTTCTCAACCTCGCCACCGTCCGCTCCAGAATGGACTCTCTCCAACGCTTCCTCTCCGAATCGGTCAAAAACAACACTCTCATCGGTCAAAACCAGATGGATATGGTCTCCACCGAGATCTCCTCCGCCATCAATCAGATCATCGTCAACGGCGCCGCCCTCCTCGCCTGTACTCAGCGCCCTTCTCTCCCTCCTCCCACCGATCATACCTCCCCAAACCCTATCGGATCAGAAAATCCGAGCTCGATAATCAACGCAGGACCAGATCTGAAAGTTTCAGAGAATTTAAGCAGTTTTGATGTGAAAACTTCCATGGATGCGATGATTATGAGCGAGGAAAAAAGTGTGATGAATTTGAAGGTGGAGGACGAAGAGATGAAGGATGAGATTGGGATCGATGATTGGGAGATCATAGAGCTCGATGCGGTGGAGCTTCTCGCAGAGCACATTCATTTCTGCGATATTTGCGGGAAAGGATTCAAGCGCGATGCGAATCTGCGGATGCACATGCGAGCCCACGGGAACCAGTTCAAGACGCCGGAGGCTCTGGCGAAACCGGAGAGGTGTTCGTCGGAGTTTAGCCGGAGGAAGACTCGGTTTTCGTGTCCTTTCGTAGGGTGTAATCGGAACAAATCGCATAAAAAGTTCAGGCCATTGAAATCAGCGATTTGCGTGAAGAATCACTTCAAGAGAAGTCATTGTCCGAAGATGTACTCTTGCAATCGCTGCAACAAGAAGAGCTTCTCGGTGTTGGCTGATTTGAAAAGCCACTTGAAGCACTGTGGGGAGTCTAAGTGGAAGTGCTCTTGCGGAACGAGCTTCTCGCGGAAGGACAAGTTGTTCGGTCACATGGCGCTTTTCGAGGGCCACATGCCGGCGGTGGTGGAGGAGGACGAGAAGCCCAAAGAAGCTTCTGCGGCAGCAGCGGCGATGGTGGAAGACGATGAAGAAGATGATGATCGGATGGTGAAGGAGGCCGAAACCGGGGCTAATTGTGGGGACAATGGATTCTTTGATGGTTTGCTTGATGGGTTTGATTCGATCGAAGACTATTGTTTTCAAGATGTATTGGAATCTCCTAATGGTTTAGGTACTACTGCAATGAATCAGTTCTATAACTTTTGACACAGGTCAGGTATATTTCTTGTTTGATGTGTACCCCTGTCTGATTGTATGTTTAGGTATATGTATAATGTATATTTATTCTTTGTTGAAAGGGGTTCTTTTGAGTCTATCTTTATCATCTCTGATGTAGTCGCTACTGATTAATTTTTGCAATAAAAGGATTGATCTTGTTTAGCTCTGTTGGCCAAAGTTGAATACTTGAGAAATATTTTTACTTTTGAATTGTTGATTTGAAGATTGTGGTTCATTTCAACATTTAAAGATTGGGAAATTTCACATCACATAGTAATAGATATAGTTCTGAGCTAAAAATTGAATCAGAGTAGACTTGGTTCGATTGTTAGTAAAGATTAGGATTCTTAGTAAAGACTAACTTCTATTGCAATTTCATTCAGTGCTGAATATGTCATAAAGACTAGGATTTTTTGGACATGCTGATCTGGAAACAGTTACCAATGATGAGAGAAAGTAAAATATGAACATGGTATGGAAATTTTATTATTCCTTTGATCATCTGAGGATTGAGGCCTTGAAAAGTTGAGAATAGTTGGGCATTTGCTGAGAAGATTTGTACGAAGAATTTTATTTTTTTCATTGCCAGGAAAGGATTTTGGGAGGATGATGAGGTTGCCTAAGCAATGAAGAATTTATGGAAAAATGCTTCATACCACTAATTTAGCACAACTAATGCACCACTAATGATGTGGCATCATGTGGACCTCACCATTGATGTGATAGTTTGGCCTTTGTTTTATTTTATTTTATTTTTTTTTTATATTGCCACCTCATTAGTGATGTTTTTAGAGCTTCAAATTTAGTGCTCTAAATCACTACAGTTTTTGGGTATCATAATTACTTTACTTAAAGTATCACAAGAACTTCATCAGTAATGCTTGGAATTACAATATATGATCTGTCTATATACTTCACACTTGATTCAATTTTTGAAAGTTTGAGGCCACACAAGTGTGATCTTTGTACAGAATGAGGCCATGATGATTGTGCTGTGAAATTGACACATGATGTTATAGTTTTCGTCTAGATATAGAGAAATTATTATGTGATATCTATGGCCTGAGATTCCATTGAGGTTGGGTGTAAGGTCATTTTCACAATATTTTCTCTGCACCTTCGCACATTTGAACAGGGAATAGGGCTGCAAATGAACTGAACCGAACCAGGTCAAGTCAAGTTTTGCTGAGTTAAAGGTCGGTTTATTTACTTATCGAGCTCGTTTATTGAACTCTAGTTCGGCTCGATCAAGAATTGGGCTCAAGCTCGGCTTGACTTGTTAATATTAATGAAACTCGAGCTCGGCTTGATTTGGCCTAATTTTTTTTAATATTATGTATATTATTTAAATAAAAAATATTATTTATATTATTTAATATATAAATAATGTATTTATTTTATAATTTAAATAAAGATAAATGAGGCGAACTTATGTGAAGTCGAGTTTTGCTCGTTTACTAAACGAGCTTAATTTTTGAGTTCGAACTCGACTCGTTTACTAAATGAATCGAGCTGAGTTGAATTCTTAATGAGTTAAGCTGAGTCGAATTTGTTTCTGAACAGATTGATTCATTTATAACCCTACCTTTGAATCATGGAATGCAAAATTGCTCTTAAGAGCATCTTTATTTGGGGTGCTAAAATACATATCAAAATCAAAATTTGACAAGAACTCACCAAAACAATCTACTATGGTGTGTCGTTTTACTTGGGAAACCTTTTGATAAATTTGGCACAAGATTTGTCCGTTGTAAAAATTTAGTGAAACTCTCTCTCGCTCTCACTCATGATTGAAATTCACAATTGTATTTTTGTTAAGAGGGGATTCTAGTTAGTGAAACTCTCTCTCTCCATCTCTTTTGATGAAATTCACAAATAGTATTTTTGTTAGAGGGGATTCCCAATTAGACGTTGTTGTCCTCTTATGGATGCCACATCCATAATATTGATAATTGGATTATTTTTGTTTGTCTTGTAGGGTTTTCTAAACGGTTCATTTATGTAAAAAAAGTAAATTCATTGGACAAGTATAATTACATAGGTCACATTGTTTTTAGAAAAATAAACAATAAGAATAAGGGTTAATTACTTAAAATTCTTATTTATAAATGTTATGATAGTTCAATTCTTATTTAAATTTTTTTGAATTATTAAGACTTATTTAATAAAACTGAGGGGTTATTTGTGATGAATTATATAAGTGCGTTTTTTGACTTTTTGAATAAAAAAGTAAAGAAAAAAATAGTTGTTTAGAATAACTTTTTGACTTTTTGTAAAAAAATATGTATTAAAATATTATATAAAATAACAAAATTACTTTTTTACCTATCTAAGTACTGACATGCACGTCATTACGGCTATGCAAGCTTGTGTGCACTAGTTGTGTTGGATTATTTTATATATATATATATATTTTTTTTTAAAATTTTTTTTTTTTTGACAGAAGAACGTGAGAGGGTAGTTTGTAAACAAATTGGGCCAAGCTAGGAAGAGCTTTCTTTGGGAGTTGGGCCGTGTATTGGGCCGAGATAAGGACTGGTATAACTCGGTCTAAGGCCAAGAAGACATCTCATATTTCGGGTTTGGGCCGAACTATGGGCTGAGGTAATGATTTATATAGCACTGTCCTTGATCATCTAAACATCGGGTCGGTCAGAGATGGGCTACTAGTGGCCTGACCTAGCTATCCTAGACCGAGGTATCACTTGAGGGAGGACTGAGCTAAAGGATAGCTCCGTAGGGCGTCATCTCAAAGTTAAGACTAGCAGTGGTGCTTAAATTATCACCGAGCTATGTGAGCATGGTTGACCGCAGTGTCAGCCGAGGTAAGAGTTCAGCCATCTCACTTGGCTTGCAGTGATGAGAATGTTTTAAGGATAAACATTATCCTTGGGCTTGAGACTCCTAGGAGGACTCTGCTGAGGAGAGTAGAGTCCTACTAAGATTGTGTAAAATCATTTCACTTGGTTGGTAGTGAGTAGAGTGTGTGACTCCTATGAGGACTCTTATAAGGAGAGTTGGAATTCCACTAGGATTGTGCCAAACAGAGTCTATAAAAGCTCATAGTAAGACCTATGGACAGGTATCACAATCTTAATTCTTACTCTAGAATACACAGAGCTTTTGTGTCTATTGTCTATTTTGCTGACTTAGGCATCGGAGGGATTTCTAGCACACTCCCGCTAGCTAGCTCACGTTTGTGTTTTTAGACAACAAAGCGACAACGTTTGGAGGAGTGCAAACTTGATCAACAGGATTATACGAGAAGATTATTTCGTGCTCGTACAATTGGCGCCATTTGTGGAAATTGCAATCACAAAAAAAACTAACCTCTTGATTAAGTTCTCTTTCAATTGATTTCAATGGCGCACAATGAAGACTTACCACACTCTGCCATTGATGGGCAGACCTCGGGAGGGAGTGCAAGGCGCCAAGGCTTGCCTTATGTACCACCCATGGCAGAATTAGATCCCCAGCAACAGAATCCACGAAGAGAGGTGCGAGAAAGACGGGGCTCAAGTCTACACCGCTCTCAAAGCCCTGATAGACAAAGGCGGAGGATGGATCCTCAGGTTCTGGAAGATCGTGTAAGGGAGCAAGACGAAGTAATAAGAAGAATGACGGCTGACATGGAGACTATGAAGCGCCAGATAAAAGGCGAAAATGTGGCAACAGAAGAGGGGCACAAAGACAACACGCGCTCTTATCACTTAGAAGATGGCGACATGCAAGTCACACCATCACAAACTGAAAGTAGAAGCCTCCGGACAGGCGATACACAATCGAGGACTTCCAAGACTCGTTACTCCAGGTCTGAGAGAACGAGGATTGAAAGGTCTGATACGGAGGGAAGCAGTTATTGGCCCTCGCATTCGCACCAAACGACATCTAGGCACATAGAGTTGCCTAGGTCGGCAAACTTGTGGACGATGCTAGAGGAAAAAGCTCAAAGGAGAGAAGACACTCAGGCTCGCAATCATCGCGGAGTTTCTGCACTACAACAGTTGGCTCCTAGGACACATAGGAGTGTCGAGGTTGGAATGCCGGTACCAAGCTTTGCCTACGAACCAACAGACAAAGCGTTAGCAAGATTACAGAGCTCACCATTCGTTCCAGCAATAGAGGATGCACAATAACCCTCAGGTTTTCACCAGTCCAAATTCAGTACATATGAGGGGGAGTCAGACCCTTACATGCACTTGAGCCACTTTCTTCAGGTTATGGCTGTATATCGGCGAAACAAGGCTCTAATGTGTATCATGTTTCCTTCTAGCCTTGGCAACTTGGGTTTAACGTGGTTTGAAAAGTTGCCAAAAGGTAGCATAGCTTCATGGGCACAACTAGCGAAGGCGTTTGTTACCAGGTTTAAAACAAACACCAAGACACCGGTGGAAATAGACCAGCTGCTCTCCATCGACATGGGCGAGAAAGAAACACTAAAATCTTTCAATAACCGATATTAGGAGACTTTTAATCAGATTGAAAATTGTCTCGTAAAGCTAGCTATTGCACAGTACAAGTGGGGTCTGCCAATGGGTCATAAGTTGAGGGATTCAATGACAATCATGTCGCTTCTTACCATGGAAGCCTTGATGGAGAGAGTGCACCAACACATTTTGGTAGAGGAAGATGTGATGCGCACCAAGGCAGAGTCCGATACAAATAGCGATGTCGGACAGAACACCTTCGACAAAAGTTAGTACGGTCGACATGAAGGACCAACTAAGTAAAAAGTGTTTGCCCAACTGAGGGTAAAGTGAGTTGGCAGGTTTGACCAACTCTTTCTAACAAGTCTTTGCCCGACTGGGGGGCAATAAAAAATGTTGGCAGGTTTGACTAACACTTTTTCATTTTTCAGCCGAGATTAGGATCTAGGCTGACGGAAGTTTGGCAGGTTGGGCCAAACATATTATGTTCTTCAGCCGAGATAAGGATCAAGGCTGAAGAAGGTTAGCAGGTTTGACCAACATCTAGTCCATCAGCCGAGATTAGGATCTAGGCTGACGGAAGTTTGGCAGGTTAGGCCAAACATATCCTGTTCTTCAGCCGAGATAAGGATCAAGGCTGAAGAAGGTTAGCAGGTTTGACCAACACTTTTCATTCTTCAGCCGAGATTAAGAGCTAGGCTCAAGAAGGTTGGCAGGTTTGACCAACAAATTTTTGCC